TCCATTAACGTGTAGAAATTCTTAAACTTTGAACAAAGGCTTTGTTTTTTCTTCAGATTTCAGGTAATGTAGGTGTCTGCTGTTGCATGTTCTTGAGAGCCATACCAAGGAGTCCTTGATTTGACAGACTGTTATGCTGTTTGTGGGATCATGGCTGGAACACTGTATTTTGCTAATCTAGTTTCCCTTGCCTCCCAGGTCAAGGTTTTAGAATTTATTCCTCTACTGCAGCAATTTTTGTCAGTCAAAATGATGACGTGAAAAGGGGTTTTGTACACGTAACCCATACCAGAAATATGAAGGGCATAGAAACAAAATCTGTCGGGATTACTGAACGTATGCACAAATGCAACAGAGAAGCTGATCACTGGAAAAAGAAAATATGTTTTTGTCTGGGGACCTAGACTCTTTACAGTGAAGGAGTCAGGTTCTTACTGTAAGTAAGGGCTGGCAAGGATTTTCCCAGAATTCCTGCAGGAATGTGGAAAAGAAAAGGAATAGTTGTCTCGGAGTTTACCACCTCAGTCTTTAATAAGGAAAGTTTTGGAATCTATTTTGGACTTAACTTTTCTTAATATGCCAAATTTGCAAGCACCAGATTACGTAGCTTGTGAATATTTTATGAGAGAAAAATGCTTGGCAATCTTATCAGCCGTGTTTTCCGGAGATCATTCTGTTTCCTTGTATTCAGTGAAAGGAATAATGTTTTTCTGGGTATCAATAGTTAATCCTTTGAAACTAGCCAAACTATAGCTACAGTATGAGAATTGATGTCAATGTAACCCAATATTGACGAAGACTCTAATATTCAAAGAAATGCTGTGGATAAGCTAGTTTATAGGGAGTACCTTGTAGCTTATATTTAGTTAGCGTAGACTTTGCTTTCTCTTTCCTACAAGACAGACTCTTTTCAAAGAAGTTTGTAAATCTCCATACAGTCATTTATTTCTCACGTTCAAGTTTCCTCTCTTTTTAGGGCTTCTAAAATGGAAAATTATTCTCAGATGATGTTTTAAGTTTTCAAAATAATTTTCTGATTGATTTTTTTTTGTGCAGCCCTAGGTTGAGTGGAGTGTCTGTGCATTAGTTCTGTGTTTGTGCAGATATTCTAGAGAGAGGTAAAGCGAAGCGGGGAAGACTGCATTTTCAAAAATCAAAACTGGTTTTGAGTGTCTTTTCCCTTTTTGAAGTCTAGTTTGTTAAGGTAACTGTTTAAGCATGCCAGCGCTTGTGTAGTCTAAATAAATATTTATTGTTCAAAGTATAAGGCAAAGCAGTGAAGGTTCTGGTCCAGGTCTGTGTCAAACCATTGGTAGAAGTGTGTTCTGACTCCTGTACCCTGTACTTCTCATCATGCATTCTCTTCCATTTTGTCATGAAGTGGGGAAATAAATATTTCAAAAAATATGCTGCTTCTCACTGAATCTACCTGAATGTTCCTGTCATCAAGTAATTAAAATAACAAACACTTTGTGAAACAGCAGATAAGCAGAGTGGATAAAAATAGTATTATCTTACTTGTAGCTACTGAGCCTGTAAATAATTAAACAATTATCGTCACTGTCAGGTTTCTTTTTTAAGCACCTTTTTCAGGTTGTGGTATTGCTTACTCGGTGCTTTGAGGTGAAGAAATAGCAATGGAACAGGACTATACAGTTAATAACAGGACTGATGTCTACATACTGTGATCTTTGCACAATTGCATAATGACTTGAGAATAAACTTTTCTTAATACTTAACTGCCAATTAAGTAAGCTAAGAAGCTAGCCATGTAGATGAGAAATATAAAATATCCCAACTGAATACAAATATTACATAACAGCAACTAATCTGCATATTAATTATAGCTACAATAATGGCAAGAGTTAGGCTTGGTATGTAGCTAATCATGAGACTCTGTTCCGAATGACACTTGGCAGGGGATGATTTTTTTACTTGTATTTTAATTGAGAAATAATATGAGTGTGAGATTTTAATGGACGTGAAAGAAGTCATATAATCGCAGAAGTATGACTGTTCAAATGTATTATAGACTTTAATACCTTTAGAGAATCAAATATTGAATATGTCTGTCACAACTTAACTGCTCTATTCTATTGGCAACCAAAAGTCAATACAGCTAAAAGAACTGTAGGGTATTAGAACCTTTTGAAAATATAAAAGCTACCCTACTCCCTCAATGGAGTAAATTGTCTACTGTTTCATTGAGTGTTAGGCAATTTTATTTTTATAATCTTATGAATAGTCACGTCTTTAAAATTCAGTTTGATGTATTGACAAAAAGATTGGGAGTAAGGAAAGGAGTATGTAAACAGTAACAGAATTTTCCGACCTGAATATTTTTAAGTCCCCTACAAGAAAATGGATTTTTCTGTTCAGCTCTTTTTGTTTAACGATCTGTAGTTCTGTGACTTTCTATACCAAAATCCATAATTATGAATGTTTTTAGCAAGGTGTGTATCCCTGAGATTTGAAACAGGGGTGCTGGGTGGATAAATGAAGAAAGCCTGTGGTTTCACCCTCGTTCTGCCGACGACTTCTCTGGTGAATGAGTTAGGTGCTTAATCACCGTCTCAGTTTCTTATCTGAGAGGAAGAGATAATTACAGCTCCTTTATTGAGAAAACCACATTAATACTTGTGTTCAGTATAAACTTGTACAGAGTATAAAACCCCACTGTGCAATGTTAGAGGAGGACCATGCAGTGAAGTCTGGCGTGTAGAGTTTACAGTCTGAAAGACGCGCTCTAACCGTTCCAAAAGTCAGACAGACTGGTGAGAAGAGAGAAATAAATGGCACGCGTAATATGTAACAAGTCAGTAGCAGGAACTGCGGGGCCGGGGGATGCCTAGGCTGTCATGGCTGGGCCTGGCAGCCAGGACCTTGTCCCAGCGCCCTGGCCAGGGACCTGGCCGGGCTGCTGGGGCCCGGCTCAGCAGGGTCTGCGGCTGGGAGCGCCAGGGCCAGGCTGCCCAGGGAGGTTGTGGAGTCTCCTTCTCTGGAGATATTCAAGACCCGCCTGTACGTGGTCCTGTGCAGCCTGCTCTGGGTGACCCTGCTTTGGCAAGGGGGGGTTGGACTAGATGACCCACAGAGGTCCCTTCCAACCCCTGACATTCTGTGATTTATAGCCACACACACACAAAAAGCTAGGTTTCTCTTTCCTGGTTGATAATCAAAGCACTGATGGTGGTCAAGGCATTTCTTTGGGACTGACCTATACGGCTTGGTGATGATACGGGTCTCAAATTGTCCCTAGAGAAGCATGACTCTCCTGGAGATGCCTTGTGCCATGCGAGGCGTCACTGTCCGGAGCAATGAGCTCATTCCTGTAGGTTGTGCTCTGTGCCTGTGCAATGCCGTGTACGTCTTCCAATGCTGAGTGCAAAATGTCTGATTTACCGGATCCAAATTTGTCAGGGAATGAGGTCCAGTTATGCAAATACAAAGTAGCTTCTGTCTTCGGTCTGGTTATTTGCTTAGGAAGTACTGAATTACTGTTGTAACTCCGAACAACTTGTTATTATCAATATAGCTGCACCATGCACTGTTCTGTAGTTGCTAGCAAGAAGGTAGAGCTGCATTACAGGAGGGAGACTAACAGAGAAGCATCTGATTAACTAATGAAATTGCAGTGCTGAGATTCTCTAAAAACAACTGTTGGTCTCTGTGTTATATTTTTAGAATTGCTCTAGTGTCCTTTGCTGACATATTCGCTGCAACTGCGTTATTAGTTCAGTGCTGCTCTGGGGAAGTGCCCTTATTTTACGTCCAGCCGTGTCCTCAAGGCCATCTTGCAGCTATGCTATTTGGCCGTGGTAGTGTAGTATTCCTTACATAGTAGTAATCACTGAACCGGCATCAAACATCTTTGCTTGTATGATGGATATCCCAAAGGGAATTAATGGCAATTGATTTCCTGCTTAGTGGCCTATAGGCAAGTCATCTATAAATGAGATCTTTCAAGCTGTTGGTCTGTGCAGAGTGCTGGAAGCACTGATGTAGGTCTATGGGTGCAGTTCAAGTGTTCGGTACTTGCCTCAGCACTGAATTTTGCTGCCTCGCCTACGCTTTGCTCATTTAGCAGAACTTGTCATGTATTCCGGAAGTCATTAGTAGTATGCTGTCACCAAAAGCATGCTCATGGCACACTCTGATACTTTGCATATGATACGTTTTAAATGCTGTGCAATCCAGGCTGGCTTTTCCTGTCATTTCCTTTGATTTTTGTGCAGCATCCGTGACTGTAGCACATAGCAGGCAGTTACAGAGCATGACATCCTCGCTGCAGCATCCATGAGAGACTGGTATGAATCTCAAGGCATGTGACTCACCCGTCAGCTTAATGCAGCTGAGGCTCCTCTGTAATTTCTAGCTTTCCATTCAACGAGAGCCTCTTACTGACAGCAGAACTCCTGTGATAGATTAAACACTTTCATTGAAACACCGGTTCGCCGATAGCATGGCAGCTCCCTGCAGATTCTCTATGGTGTATTTTGTTCCCCTCACACTTGATAATTACTGTCTTGTTACATCATGCTTCTCAGTGAAAGTTTACTCAGATAATTAATTCAAGTGATAGTAAATTAAAATTGTACATAAATTACACTTGCACCTAGTACATGTTGTTTAGAACTAATACGTCAAAAGGTCCTTCAGTAGTACGTCTGAACAACTCATTTATATGTAGCTCTGTAATTGCATGTATAGCTCTTGGCAATTAAGCTGCTTGTAGGGAAGAAGCATATAGCATATTTTATGTCAAATATATGTTTTTAAGATTTAGTGTCAAGTAGAGTATTATTATCTAGTTGTCTGATACCTCATAGACCACTGATATTATTTCTAAAGAGATATGACCAGTTAGGTGCTCAATTTCATCTAGCAGGAGTCCCAGGAGGCTGATCAGCTTTTTTCATAGCATTTCTTAGGCAGAGCTGCAGGCTGGCTTTTGCTGTCAAATTGCTAGACATTAACTGACCCAAATACTTACTTTGCAGGAGGCCCAGAAGATCAATGGTGGTGGAGATACACAGGCAGACGGGGCCTGCAAACCAACAGATGAAAAAGAAGAGAACGTGGCAGCAGAAGTGGGATGGATGACCTCTGTGAAGGACTGGGCAGGAGTCATGATCTCTGCCCAGACATTAACTGGCAGAGTACTTGTAAGTTTTCTATAATTTTCTATATTCTCATTTTAAAGAACATTTTTGATAAACACTGTGTCCCAGGATTTTTGATTGGTTTGTTGCTGAGTCAGTCTCAGTCTTCTCATTTGGAAGCGAAATAGGAGACTAATTCCCACCGCAAGAGAGAAGCAGAGACAGCAAGTAAAAAAAAAAAAAAATTACTTCCAGCCCATGCACTAACCTATTTCAGTATCGTGGCACTGTGATTATGAACTGTGGTACAAACATTGAGTTTAGTAATTTCATATGAAGTGCTAAAACTATAGGCCTGTTTTGTCTGGAAGTAAAATTGTGCTAGCAAAAATGGAAGCCAGTTAGAAGTTGAATTGGCCATGCAGTGGGATTTGTGATATTTTCAGTAGACTAGTAATGATTTTATGTTCTCTTGATCTTTTTCTTTATTAACTTAGGAAATCCTTCAAACCTGTGGTCGGTTTTGTATGACACACAGCAACAAATCAGATATTGAGAACAGGTGGTTTAAAGTTCCAGTAAAAAAACATTATAGTTTTCACTTTATTTGAATATAATTATTTTATAGCCTTGTTAAATCATACTTAATTGCCAAGGGTTTTCTGCGGAGTTCACTGCAGTAAAAGGTCTCTCCTGTGTGATTTGATTAGTTTCCCTGTTAGACTGCATGTACTTATAAATTAACAGTTAAAGTGATTTAAATCCGATTTAAAAAATTGAGAATCCCAGTGAGCCTTTGGAAATAGTTTGGGTTAAAATGAAAACAGAATTTGTGTCCTTGAGTGTTTACTTCGATTAAGAGATATTTTCCTGTGAGTCAGTTCTGATCTATAGAGCAATTATTTGAATGGGGGGAGGGAACGGAGGGGAAAAAAAAATAAGAAATTGCACTTCCCTATCAAGTCTTTTACAGTGGAAAGTTGAGATGGCTCAATTGCTACTGTTCTATTTAGTTCTGTAAGAATATTATTGTGATTATTTTTTCCTAAAAATACCTTCTGCCTATTTGCTTATGTTAAATGCTGACTTTTGTCGATAGCTGGAAAGCATGTTCCATTGCTGCTTTGGGCGTTACATGTCTTCGATGTGCTACTGACAAATTGATCGTCTCATGAAAAGTGACGTATATGTTTTGCATGTTTTCCTGACATTTTCATTTTCAGCATTGAAAATGGCAAAACTTGGAGACATGCTTCTTGTTCCAATTTAACTCTAAAGGCTAGAAATCCCACCAAACCACTCCTATGCTACTGGCTATGCAATCAGACATTGGTCTGTGTTGTTTTTACGGAGGTATATGCGAGCACAAATACCAACCAACAATCAATACCAAAACCTAAAATATAAACCACGTTTTACCATGTATTTTATTCAAAATACTGGGGGAACTTATTCAATTCCATTTAATGACTGTGCTTATTTCTTTTGGGGTACTTATTACGTGCTTGCACTTTACCATTGCATCTTTAAGAGACTAGTTTGTTTCCAGAGTCTTTTTGTAGACAGCTGCCCAACATCATTGGGTCGGATGAGTTCTGAGAGTATATTTATGTTCTTGTCAAGGTATAACAGCAGGTATTGCACACATCTGGGCTCATCAATATGACCAACATTCTGAGAAATAAGTAGCGATACGTGGAGTTTGTTAGTTAATTTTGTTCAGTTTAGAAAACACGAGGCAGTTATTTTAATGCGTCACTCATCACTTTTGGAATTTGAATTGATAGGATGTAATTTCTGGAGGACAACTTCTAGTATGAACCTTTACTGTTCATTTAAATTTTGCTTTATGGTTATATTTGCTAAAGGTTAGCTGCTTCAATGAATATTTGTGCTAGAGAGAATATTCACGTTATTTGTAGATACGAGATGTAGCTAAGTCAAGTCAATATTTTTATGGAAGTACATTGTTTGAAAATATTATGATTTACTCATGAATTCCTAGTAACTTATAGCTGGCAGGAGCAAGCTGCGTTTATATTTCTGAATAAAAGCGTGGAACTATTTTTTTTTTTTCCCCCGGAGAGAGAACTGCTGGCTTTACAGTGCTATGAAATCAAAGGTGTATTAGATATCTGCAGCTAAAGAAATTGTAGTATGTTTTACACTGTGAGAGTTTAAAAGAAAATCAGTCTTACGCATCTAGTGTTTACAAAAAAAAGTTTTAAAAGTGGTCCACTGCAAATGGACTTGGGAAAAGGGTTATAACTGATCTTCAGTTCAGCATGGTCACCTGAAGGCTGTTGTGTAACTGCTGCCTGGATTTATTTGGTAAGTGAAATAGACAAATTGGTGGTGGTGAACACGCATCAGTGTGAAGTAGAATCTTATTTGTGTTTTCTGTTCGTGGAAAAAACCTCTCATCGTTATTCTTACCTGGACAGTAATTTTCTCCGAAGTGAATCTTGGTGGAATGTCAAGTGCTGTTTGTGGAACCAAAACTGAGTATTTTTTGGACTTCTCTCTATTGGAGTCTGCCACCATATCTTTAACATGCCTGGTCTAGCTTTTATTTCTTCCCCAGTAACCTTACAAAACAACTTCCTATTTGATCAGATCAGTTTGTCCAGGTGCTTTGTGAGTGTTGGAACAAATATTTATATAGTGACTGCTCCTGTAATTATCTCTTCAATATTTAAACTTCACGACTACCCACAGGTGAAGAAAATAAAGGCTAATAGCATGGCAACTGCAGGACAAAATTTTATTTTTAAAGGTCACAGCTTCATATCTGTGCAGTTGAATAAAATTGGACATTTACATCAACATAGGACCCTTTGCCCAGTTTTCTTGTGAAATCAAATCTTTTTGTTTAGATAATAGATGCAAACCAGTAGGCAAGCATTAAAATACAGACTAGAAGGACTTCTTCAACATTGTAGCTGTAGAGCTAGTTGGAAACTTAACAATGTGGTTTATTTTCTTTTGGGGGGGGGTGGGGGTGCAGGGTGGGGGTTTTTTTTAAATTTATGTTGGAAAAAACATTTTCTGAATCACAGGTTTTGGTGCCTCTACTGGAACGTAAGTGATGTTGTTTGTTATTCGTGATCTGGGTCATTCTGGAGGCAGTGAAATGACTGAATCCATTCCTGACAAACAAGAAAAATCGAAAATATTTGAAAGAGATGATTCTCCCCAATACTAGTTATCTTGAAAACATACAATTCATTGGTGCTTGGGGGGGGGATTTCTGTAACTGAAATAAAAGCAGAAAAAAAAAAAAGTATTCTTGGTCTCCTCTGCTCCCATTCCAATGATAAAAGAGGAAGAATTACATTTAAAAACAAAGCAGAGAGGAGAAATTAAAACCTTCTCAAACCCTAAAATATTTTACTTTTGACTTCAATTAAATGTTCTGTTTCAAATAAAATAAATGAACCTTTTTAAGTATCTGAAATTTTCTGTAAAACCTGTTTGTAATGGATGTCTCGGCCTGCCAGTAGTGTTTGCTGTGAGTTGTGGAAAAAAAACCAGTCTTATCATTTAAGGCAGTATTTGTTATCATTAGGCAATATTTGTTAAATATATATGTTAAAGCTAACTAGGTGAAGCCAAAGATACAGGTACTGCGCAAATCAATCTCTGTATACAGAAAAAAATTTCACACATTCTCTGTGGGAGTGGTTCTGAACACTAGTAGAATTAACTGTCTCCCTGACACAAATGCTCCTCATAGTGGTGCTCCTGTGTAAAACTCAGAATTGTTTGCGCCTACTCTTTATTGCTTTTTCGGAGCACAGAGGAATTGCTGCTGCCAGTTTCGTGCGTTGCTCCACGGAAGTGCTTGCCTTGTGTTATTTCATAGTATGCTACTCCCTCATCACATGAGTATCTAAGAGCAGGTTTATTGGAAAGTGTCTCAAATATATCCTGTTAACATCTCCACTTGTATCCTTAGCTCTAGGTTACGTGAGGTAGGAGTTGCCTCTGTTTCCTGCTCCTGAGAGTGTTTTGGTATTAATTCCAGAAGAGAACTACTAGGAAACAGATTCCTGTTCTTTCAGGCTGTAGGAGTAGTTTTCATTTTGTAAAAAAGAATCTTCTTTTTTTTTTCTCTTTTTGTTGGGGGGAGCAACATGAGAAACAAAGATGGCAAATTTACTTGCTAAATAATTAAACCATCAGATTTTTGAAACATGTGACCGTCACTTGTTTTATTATGTCAACTTAGTGTCTCGTAGCATGTAATTCTTGTCATTAACAGTGACAGCAAGATCAGGTGGAATAGGTGTAAAAATGGTGTGGACATGGGATTGTGCTAATATTGGAGTTGATTCAGTAGTTTATGTGAACATTTTAGAGATCAAGTACTGAAGTAGATGTTCTTACTGATTTAAGAGCTCAGTTCTGCACTTGGCCCTTCAGAAGTGGTTTATGCACAGAGGTGTATTCACACTACCCAGTTTCATCTGAAGGCAGGCTCTGGAGGAAGACACTCGCAGGGGGCAATCCAGACTGCCCTTTGGTTAGAAATCGTTCGTATTTTCTGAAGTAGGGCAGAAAACTGAGCTGGCTAGGTATGGTGCCTACGGTTGTGTGGTTGTAATAGCCTTTTCTCATTCTTTAGGTTTTAGAAGCACAACCGGAACTTAATGTTCTTGGTGGTAACAGCCTTTGAAAGTGTGACATTTGCTCTGAAATAATGTAGATGTGAATTTTAAATACTGTTTAAAAATATGTCCATGATAAATTGCATAAGCACATGATTTAACAACATGCTGATTGAGCCCGTGCAGTTCTGTTTGCGGTTGATGTTGAGTGGCATAAATATCGATAACAATAAAAGGTGACAGGTTACTTAAAATCTGTTCAGGGAAATACCAATTTACTTTGAAGTGCTATATAATGCTGTAGATAATGGAAGTATCAGATAAAAATTCCTGAGGTGGGTTTCACAAAGACGAATCAGACACATTCATAATTATCTGAAGAAGCAGGAAGTTAAAGTTGCTTATGAACTGATTTTGCTTCCTGAAATTAATTTTTTTTAATCATTTGAGTGA